TTTTTTAAATGAAGGTTATTTGATAGGGTATACAGGAAAGTTACCAAGATTGGTGTTAAAATTTACGTTAATAAACAAATTCACGGTTGATAGTGAATGTCGTGGATACTGTATTGTTGGTTTGAAAGACATTAATGATATACTGGAATATTAACTTTCTCTGCTATTATTTAGGATTTTTACAATTTGTCTTTACCCCTGACTAACAAATTAGAAGGCGATTGTTTATATAATAACAATACAAAATTTTAACAGAATTTTTTTTTTTACTTAAATACGATAGTATGTTTTTTTCTAATGTAAATTTTGTTGCAACAGTTAATATGTGTGGGTATACATTTTATAAAAAATCCAAAAAGTTCCATACATATATACGTACATCCATACATGAGAACATAAAAGTATGCATTTCTGAGATTCAAAAATACTAGCCAATTTTTTTAAGCGAACACAGGAAATTGCATTTTTTTTAATGTTAGTACGAATTGACTACTAATTGTTCATTCTTAAAAAAAACTGCAGTAACAAGAGTAAATAAAAAATAAAGTTGAACAAATTCAAGACGTTCGAGATACACTCTTTTCAAAACAAAAATTACAACTTACTATGATACGATTCGAGTGAGAAGGTCTGCGACTGAATTTCTCGACGATTTATGCATTTTCTCTCTCGTTGAAAATTCGTACTCACAAAGATCTATGCGTATACGCTTATGAAGTCAGGATTGTGGAACGATAATTTAGTGCTCCAACGAGACTACTGTTACATACATCATGCCAACCAATATAAGTCTCGAGTGTTTGGTTAGGAAATTAGAATATAATGTTATGAATGTTATGTTGGACTGCAATAAATAAACGAATGTATGTAGTCACGAAGTCCATGAAAATACCAATAAGTTTTGCCTAAAAGGCTTTTCCTTCATTTTTTATACGCTTTACAACATTTGTTTTAACCCCAAAATTTATTCTGTTCTCATAAATTTTTGTTTTAATACAACTGAAACAAAAAATACTGCTTTTTGTTTATAAGTTCACCTGCTTTTTATTTTTTTGCTTGAAGTATAAGACTTACAGTCTTGTACACAGATATACCTCACCCTTATCTTTATTTTAAGTTTGTTAAAAAAAAAATAGAAAGACTTATCTATTTCAAATCAATGAGCATATTGACGAGCGTACCTAAATTTCAATACAGAATATTGGATCTTTTTTCTTCTACCACGTATGGTACAACTTATGTTACATTGTCTATCGAACACCCGATATATTAAGTTGTAAAAAATATGTCCGTTACTAGAGGATACGGGAACTGGTCACCCTTTTTGTACGCACTTTACGTACATGGGGAAAGGTAGAAAAAAAAGGCTTGTGCTAGCAGAATCTTATTCCAAAAATGAGCTTGCAGGTAAAGACCGCTTTACTTGACCGGACTTGACTTTAATTTATTTTTTTAAGTCAGGGAAGAGCACTGTACTTTTAGCCGAGGTATGGTAGAATATTTCATCATGCAGCTACGGAGAAGAAATACAGAAGGCCCTAGATTTCAGGTGTATTATCCCCTGCAGTTAATAATCGTTCTGGGTGCACAGCTTAACTTTCGCCCGAAAGAGCCAGTACTTTAAGCCTACTGAGACAAAGACAAAGGTATGTATGTTGGGCGCAAAGCAATTCTCGTATTATTTACATCCTTACTACGCTCATATAAAAAACCTCGCACTTCGACTAAAATTACTTGCTTTGTACCCTCGGTGATTCATATATTATGTGGTGTTGCTACGAGAAAATCACATGTGTTTCGTATCGACAGCAAAATAATCTAAGCTCGTGTAGAACTCTTAGAATTTGTCGGGAGATAAATTTTGCAAAGAATTTTTTTTGTACATTCATAAGTAATGTATGTATTTTTAAAAAAAGGGACATTTTATCAAAACATAGCTTGCATATGTCGAAATCTCAAAGAAATCCGCAGTTTTCATGGTAAAAAAATCCCTACATTTTTTCTCATCACCGTCCGACAACGCAAAAATGTTGGCACTGCAGACAATCATTTTCTTTGTCTTGGAACAAAGAATACGGTTTGCCCCGCGGAATACCTTTTTTCCAACTCAGAAAAAAGATACGGCAAGAAAACTAAAGGCATCTAAAAAGTAAAAATTTACTTTATTCACTGAAATTTCGACTTCACTCTTTTGGCCAAGACTTGGCGTAGGATCATATGTCATCTTACCAACATAGTCTCGCTTGTTGCGTGATTATCACCCACAAACCAGGGACGAATAAGAACTGAGAAGCTTGAAGTCAGAACCTAAGTCGAGTTCAAATTATTCGTCTTAGTGTATTGCAATTTACAATCTGAATATCTAAAGAAGCACTTTAATGTGTAAAAAATAATAAATTCTAAATCATTTTTGTTATATTAGCACGAATCTGTACGGACAATTTCAAATCAAACCTCAAGCTAGAAAAGTTTAAGCTGTCCGTTTTTGGTTTTTGACCTAGACTCTTTTACAACTCTATAGCAAATGAACGCTTATATATTGTGATAAAACTTATTACGAGATAACTATAGAATGTGAATAAAAAAGAATTTTTATTATTTTGCAGCAATGACTCAAGCCGAAGCAAAATTCAAGCTCCATCTCGCGCCAACCAAGTCAATGATCAATAAATTTTTGGCTCGGCTCGGAACGATATCCATACTAGTCACATACTACTAGTGTGCGTTAGAACTTTAATGCCAAGATATAATCTCGTGGAAGGTGATCTAGTACACAATCTACATATTTAATAATCCCCAAAAGCGTGGGCGTTGATTTTTTATTGTTAAATGTATCTGTCACATTGGATGCGTTTTGTCCCAGTGAACTGGATGGTCATAGTCTCATGAACATGAGAAAATGTGAATGTATACAATATCTCGTTTGATTCTTTTTTTTACTGTTCTACCCGATTTTCTTGTGTATTTTATAAATTCTTTTATATTTTTTAAGTATGGTATATCAGTTTCATTGCCAAGGATATTAGTCATAAGAAATTTTTCGTGGATTTTTTTAGGGTATCTTTCAATATTTTATTAAGTATTGTAGATATTATTTCTAGTAGTACGAATTATTAGTTATTTGTGGTCGAAACCAAGATATAATTGTAAAAAAATATGTCAAACCTTAACTTTGTATGAATTTTGTTTCGATAAGTATTTTAAACATGTGAATGTGCATATCAATGATGTATTACTTTACTTAAAATAGTGCTTTAACCAAATAATAATGCAGGGAATAATTTTGCTCGAGTTTAAATTTATATTATACAAATACTCAACGAAAGATTGCACAATGACAAAGCAAAAAAAAAGAGAGTTTGCTTACATTTGTTTTCTTAGTATCTTTAATGTACAGTAATCTAAAAAAAATAGATATTAATCGAGGCACGTTAAGAGAAATACATATTTCCGTGTTTTCAGTCTCATCGACACATCAAAACAGCTGATAAGAAGTGGGCATAGTCGAGAGAGGGAAATTTTCTCATACTTCATGTACCTCAATTAACAAAAATAACAATCCAAAAAGAAAATACCAGAGAAAGGGGAGCAGTCTCATTTATTTATGTGCATTAATCAATAGGAGGTGAGTACCAGTGTGAGAGTACAGGCTCGTCATGTTTTCAGTTCATCGATAACTGCAAAAAATGACAAAAAAAAAGTAACGTTGATGAAAATAAGTTTTCTAATATTTCCCTGTGCACTAATTAATGATAGCAATAAAATTAATAAGAATCAAGTGAGTTTGAGGGGGATCATCCTTTTTGATCTTTTTTTCAGCATGGACCAGCAAAGTACTCTATAAAATGTGAGTGCAGTCAATAAAAAGAAGTCTTCTTAAACCTAAATGTTATTTAAGGGGAATAGAGTCAATAAATACTGATCACACAAAAAAAAAAAAATCTTTATGTTATCACGGAAGATAAAGCACAATTTAACTTGAACATCTCCTTGATCTTAAACGTATCTCGAACGTCTTGAATTTGTTCAACTTTCTTTTTTATTTACTTTTTTTATTGCAGTTTTTTTGAAGAATTAACAATGAGTAGTCTATTCGTACTAACATTTAAAAAAAATGCAATTTACTGTGTTCGCCTAAAAAAATTGGATAGATTTTTGAATCTTAGAAATGCATACTTTTATATTCTCATGTATGTATGTGCGTATATATGTGTGGAACTTTTTTGATTTTTTATAAAATGTATACCTACACTTTAACTGTTGCAACAAAATTTACATTAGAAAAAAACATACTATCGTATTTAAGTAAGAAAAAAAATTCTGTTAAAATTTTGTATTGTTATTATATAAACAATCGCCTTTCAATTTGTTAGTCAGGGGTAAAGACAAATTGTAAAAATCCTAAATAATAGCAGAGAAAGTTAATATTCCAGTATATCATTAATGCCTTTCGAACCAACAATACCGTATCCACGGTATTCGCTATCAACCGTGAATTTGTTTATTAACGTAAATTTTAACACCGATCTTGGTAATTTTCCTGTATACCCTATCAAATAACCTTCATTTAAAAAAGAAAAAAGTTGAAATTTGTCCAATGGGTCGTGAGATATTTTATTTCGTACAAATCTACTTACTTTAGTACATAGAGGGGCGGCCGGCTCGTGTGGCAGCAGCGATTGAGAAGGAGCGTACGAGATAGGACACTCTCTCGGCTGAAATGCAAGACTCAAGTTTCGTGGTTTGGATAGCAAATAAATAAAAAGCTAACTGTTATGGAATTACCTATATTTTTTTATCGAGTCTCATTCTAAATCACCTGATTTTTTCTCGATCTCCTACAGCATTTACAGATAATACCTCTTTTTTGACTACTGTAACACACGGTTACAGTATAAGCCAGCATATTAAACAAAAATTTTTTAAGCTTTTCTGTACAAGAAAAGGGAAAAAATTTACTGAATAAAATTTCTAGTACAAAAGAAAAAATAAAATCTTACTTTTCCCCATTGTGTTCCGTACCGCCCAGCTCGTCCTGCAATTTGTAGTGCTGAAGATACTGAAATAGTATTCATTTCTCTCTCACCTCTGTCATTTACTGCTGGTTTAATCAAAGAATAAAAAATAATTCTCCGGATGTGCCTACGAATACAATATCAGTTACCAAACATTTTTATTTGATACAAAAAATTACTTACAAGTTTAAGCCCATTCCTATTGCATCAGTTGCAACCAACACTTTACACGGATGGTGTATGTCATTAAATTTAGCAGCTTGGGCAAGCTTTGTTCCTGGAGGTAAACTTCCATAAATGACGGCAACTTCAATGTTTTTTTCTTCCAGATTTCTTGATACTGTGTAAATATCATTTTTACTAAAACATACTATGCAGTCGCCACGCTGAATATGATTTAACGATCTAAGAGCAGTATTTTGTACTTCTAGCTCTGTAAGCCGATTATATTTCCGAACTTCAACACTTTCTCCAGTTGTCAAACATAATGACTTAACCTACACAAGAATATTTAGGAAATTATGCCACTAAGAAATTATCAAATGCATGGTGGTAAATGTGTTAAAATTTATCAATCAAAAAATAAATTAAAATACACCACTGATTCAAAATATGCTACTGAATGATTTAGAAGATTATTCTGTTAAGGAGGTTAACTACCTTTGGGGTAGAAGGAGTTTGGAGGGGGTGCGAGAGAGAGAGATCTGATTTTGTGCCTTTTTTAGGTTAGAAATGCGTGCGCATGTCCCGTAATTTAATATTGAGTTGTACTTCTACTCCAGATTATTCATTAATAACTGTTTTTACAAAGACCTAATCAACATGATTGTTTTACATAATAAAAAGGCCGATGTTAATTTACTGTTCACTACAGTTATGTTCAAATCTGACTGTTGATTGTATTAAAATTATTTATTGTAAGAGTCACTTTTGACGATCTCCTATTAGACCGCATGTAAAATTCAAAAAATTTGTTTCATTAATTTTTCGTTTCATAAGCATCCAGAGTTGTTGAAACTTCACATAAACTTTTTTTATAAATGTTTAAAGCTCTGCACAAATTTTAGTTAAAAAACTGACTGTCAATTGCTTAAGGTAGTCAACTTCCTTAAACAGTTGAGAGATGCTAATTAACTAAAATGGCCTCATTCATGCAAATTGTACACAAAATTTTATTGCAGATTACTTATGCTCAAAGTTGAAAAATCACTCATAAAATTTGCTTTTTACTTGTAAAAATATATTTTTTACGAAAAAAATGTTCATAAAAATTTTTTTGACAGTAATACGTGGTATTTATGGCTTATTCATGTTAGACGCAGTACCTTGAAAATGAATACAATAAGCTAATTAATATAAGGTTCGAGATTGTTAGGATGACATGTAAATAAATAATATACAAACGGATTCGATAATAACAAAAAATTTTAATTTGATACATAAGTTTGTAGAGCTTCAAAAAATACGAAAATTTTTCATAGTCCTAGCGAGGACCATTTATTGATTTTTTTTTTGAAGAATATCATATCCATCTTTTTTTAGATCAGAGCAAATATTTTCACAGTAATAATTTTCTTTCACTTTTGGTTGAGATGATTTAACGTGCTTTTCTAGAAAAGGTTTTGAACTATTTTTATCCTGCTCTTCCTCGCTGAGGCTCTTGTATTTTTAGTCCATGGCCCAAGGGATTTTTTAATCTTATATTTTCCAGTAGAGAAAAAACTGGTCATTCCCCTTCAGAGTTTTCTTAGGAATACGGAAAAAATTGTTTTGTCCTATTCAACTGTCAGCTTCATTTATTTATTTAACAATTTACGAAGAAATGCTAATTTATTATTTAGTTTTTTCCTTATATCTCCAATTCTATTGCTCTTAGGGAAACTTTTCAACCACCAATCGCTTTGTTATCAAATTTTGAAATTGAAAATTGACCATGAATCCATTTTTTTAAAGGTCAAATTTCAAGTAGAAAATAAATTTTAATCATGCCGCAAATACAATTGTACTACGGAACTTTTTATTTTCTATCTGTTGGTCTATGTTGCGGCTGATTTGTAAAATCGACAACATGGCACTAATTTAATTAACACATAACACTTTACCAGAATGTAAAATGATAAAAATACTTCGGATCTTTACAAATCATAAGGTTTCTCAATTTTGGTAGTAGTGGCGGCTATTTTAGATTTTCGACCACCCTCAGGCCTCAGTTCTTGATCGATGATATAGGTATACTGGCGAACTTACAGACACACGAGCAGGCAGACTCTGCTTTCACTTCAAAAAGTCTTTTTCATACTAGTTCGTATTTATTGCTGTTTAAAAATATAGCGTGCTTGATTTTTTAAAAGTGCGAATTCTAATAAATTAAGAATTTTTAGTTTTCTCTTTTTGAAAGAGTAATTTTGGTTTTTTACTCCTATCACAAGAGTGACAATCAAAAATTATACTTTTTTGAAAAGGGCGAATCAAAATTTGCTTTATTGAAAACAGTCATTCTGGCTTTTCATTCTTTTCAAAAAGTAATTTTCGAAAATTAGTCTTTTGAAAAAAGGAAATTGAAGTTTACTATTTTGGAAAGAGTAATTCTGGCTTTTTACTCTTTTCAAAAGAGAAATTTTGGCTTTTTACTCCTTTCAAAAGAGTAAAACTCAAATGTTACTCTTTTGAAAAGAGGAAATCTTAGAAACTACCATTTATAAAGAGTAATTTTGCGTTTTGACTACTTGGAAAAGAGTAAAATCGAGAAATTACTCTTTTTAGCGTCCATTTATACTCTTTTGGGTACAGTGTGTTAGTCCGTTATTGCAAAAAACGTCAATTTCTTATATCTCAGCTTCAGTTAAATTTGCATTCTTTATGACAAATACAATACCGTTTGTTTCAAACAAAATTATGCAAAATTAACTAAGATATTTGCAATTGTTCAAGTTGCAAAATATAATTTTTCGCGGAAAAACGTCAAAATTGACAAAAGAAATTTTTTACTTTTTTTTGTTATTAATAATTGTACCAAGTACAAAGTTTTTACCAAAGCAAAATGTTGATAAACCATCAGTGAAGTTTGTAATAACACTTTAAAGTTTTACTTTAGAAAATTGATCAACAAAAAAACTAATAATTATTTTGCAATTTTGCAAATAGCTTTTCGTTGTGCAACTTAATATCTATATTTTCTCAAGGTTAAATTCAAATTGACAAGATAATTTTTTTCCTACGTAGATCGAAAGTTTTTCGGTATAAAAATTTTTTTTTCACACTTTCCCGCCCTTCACGTGTAATTAACAATAAATAATGCATTTGCAAAAGTATCCATTTCATAAAATATTTGATGACAAAGAAATTAGTGTTCAAAAAGTTTCCCTAAGAGCAATAGAAGCAGAGATACAAGCAAAAAACTAAATAAAAAATTAGCATTTTTTCATAAATTGTTAAACAAATAAATGAAGCCAACGATTGATCAGGACAAAACTATTTTTTCCGCCCTCGGGTGGTTTTGGGAGGCTGGTACTTCCTCGGGCGAAAAAGCAGTTTTCCGGAACTCGTTCGAAAAGTCTCCTTTACAAACCTCGTTACGTCCCTCGCCTTCGGCTCGGGCCGCAAACCTCTCGGTTCGCAAACAATGACTTTTCAAACTCGTAGGAAAACTACTATTTCCGTATTCCTAGGAAAACTCTAAAAGGGAACGACCAGTTTTTCCTCTACTGGAAAACATAAGATTAAATCTTTTTTTTTTATCTCCGGGCAATGGACTATTTGGTTTGCTATATTACGTATCAATATTTTTTTTATGTTGACTGCCTAATCGTCACAGGATAACTGAAGCCATATTAAAATTTTTTGTCAATTTATAAGAAAACACTAACTGAAACATATCATTTTTTCATCGCACTTTTTTATCTTTCTTTTTTTTCTGCATACACACAGTCATTATTTTTTAGCTTCAAAATTATAATCAATTTCAGAGTCACTATCAGTATTAGCAGTATTAGGTCCATCAACGATAACCCAACTGATAACCATTTTAGAAATTTTCTTCGTATAGCTATCAAGTGCGTCTAAAAAACATTTCGTATCTAGTTCAATGCTACTTTTTACCAAAGAGCACAACACAATTTAATTTAATAAGCTTTACTAAGTGTGCAAAATTTCTTTCCCCACATACTTTTTCGTGCCTCATAAGTACCACATGTTAACGCCTTTGTAGAATATTCCATACTAAGAATGTGACGTGATGGCACCATATACTGCTAAATGTTCATCATACCACATTCCACGGTAGATTCCATTACGTGGCTATCTTATCTTCATAAACGATAATTTGGAGAGCATTTTTTGCTACACCATGCACTTGCTGCTTTGATTTTCTAGTGGAACAATCACCCTTGAACCAGACTTTTTCGACTGATGATCGTTGTTTCGGTCCACATCCATTGGTGAGGTAGAAAAATTGCACGGGGGCCGCACAATCCAATGACTGATGGCTGGCGTTATAAAAGACATAACAGCCACTACTTTGGTTAAAACTGTCGAGAAGCGTCAAAAAAACCTTTAATTTCTATAACATAATCAATGTATAGATCCTTCTTTTTATTTTGTAGCTTAAACACGTCGTTCTAATTATGACATAAACGCGTATCCGTCATGTTTGATGCTGCGCGATGAACTAAGCAGCACTCTGTGCTGAAATTCTTTTATGTACGTTCTATTTTGTGCTAGTGTATGTTAATGTTTTACAAGAATTAATCATTGGTTCTTAATATTTTCATGGTATGCTAGTTTTAGGTAAATATTAAATGAATTGTATTAATTATATAAATTCTACTCATTTATTTGTGATCATAATTTTTAAAAAAAGTATAGTTTTATAAAGTATTTATTCTACTTCATCTTTAAAATCAGCGAAATCTTCCCACCCCATAGCAAAATAAAATTTCTTTATTCGTTTAACATACTGGATGGCACATATCAATTTATACAAACCGTTATGATAAGGACATGTAGTTGCTTCAAACTCTGGATAATCAGCCATGGCATTGACTTAAAAATTAAACCTTCCAAGTCTCCTTTTCTTCAAATCTCTCATCACAAAAATCTTCTAAGCATCTTTGAGATTTTCTCGTAGTAAATTCCCATCTTCTATATAGTTAATATTACCAGATTTCCAATCTAATCCATGATACTAAAAAGCTCAAGCCATAAATTTTGCCGTTTATACTTTTGACTCAACTTACGCCAAGGAAATGGTGGTTTAAAAAGAAATACGTGTGATTCAACACTCTCACTTAACAAAAGAATTGCTAATTCTTTTAACACATAATCTTTTAAAGCATAGAATATACTGACTCAAATGACTAATGCTGTTTTATTTTTTATGAGCAAGTTTAGACAAGTTTTCTCACATCTCCACTCACGAAATTATACTCGACCATGCAATTATGTAGAATTAGACGATAAGCAGCCGTTTCATGCGAAAAATTATCTCTTGACTCGAATT